GAATTTGTGCAAATAGGGTCCGTTATTGCAAAAAAACTTTTTCAAGGAGTTTTTAAATTGTAAAGACATACAAGATTATGCTCAACACTGTAAAATTATAATTAAAAAAATTAAATTTAAAGAAATAAACAGCAATTGCAGCTACTAAGTTAGCAATGCAACATATACATATTTGGTATTTAGTCTATATTGCTGAAGGCAGAATATTAATTTCGGACGAATAAAGGAAGAAGCGTCTGCCGAAGACAAAATTTAGTTCGTTTACATCTGTCTTTCTTTCCACCACCCCCTTCCTGGTAAGGGTTTATTCGATTAACAAAACAATAATGAAGATAAACAAATTTGTAAAGGGTTCGATTAAAAGATAAATTATTTTGTGAAGGGTCCGTTTTTAAGTTAAAATATTTTGTGAAGGGTCCGTTTTTATGTAAAAATATTTTGTGAAGGGTTCGTTTTCTTCTAAACAGACTCCTGATAATTTTTCCTTAAAAATAAGTACATTGGATAGATGTTTGCCTTTTAGCAGTTGTGATAGTCATAGGTATATACTTAATGTAATAGAAAAATTATAAAGCAATTTTGTCATTATTTTCAAAGTATTGTCACAAATTTTAAAGACAAATCTGACCACATAAAAAAAAGGCAACACTATCAGAACAAAATTTATACACAATACAATAATCCTTTGTATACACCTAGACACTTACATTGCAATTGACAGGAGGAACAATAAGCTGTGTTATTTCACCGGCATGCACACAGAAACGATGTAGAAGAGTTCCAGTGTAGATGTCCCACAAGCACACTGAAAAATCAACCCCACCTGACAACAAGTGTGCAATGTCATATCGATTATGGATAAGATGTGGGTAGAGTAAACAATTTACTCGTCCATTATGGCCATGTAATAGCTGGTGAGGTGGCCAATCTACAAATGAAGACAAAAATATTAAAAGAAATTAGAAGAAAAAAAATATTACACATATAAACATTCAACATCAGTTTTCATTACTATTTCTCTTACAGAAATAAAAGTAGCACTTAAAAATAAGTCTAATGAAAAGATGAATATAAATGTTTATAAGTTACGATTTATTCTAATTTTTTTTTACCTTTTAAAATAATTTAGAAAAAGGATGCTCTTCAGAACAATAACATATCTCATTGATAACAAAGGAGGGTGGATCATTTAGTAGAAGGGATTTTTTTTTATTATTCAAATCAATCACATTTTTAAATTATCAAGGAGAAAGTTTTCAAAAAAAGACATGATGATTTCTGTGTTGATAATAAGATGTTTCTGTATATTATGCTGCTATATAGAGGAAATTTCAGAAACTTATTCAATACCTATCTAGAAACGATGTTAATGAACCATTTGATTTAAAATGGTAACCTTTGATAAAACAACTGGCTTATCACTATAAACTAACTTATCACTCAAGCTCTTCAATTCATACGTAGTTTCTAAGTTTTTTAATTCTCCTACTCTATATTATCTGCTTTTTTTTTCTTTTTAACTCAGATCTTACAATTGCAAACAAGATAGAAGAAGTTTTTAATTCTAGCTTTTACATTTAATTTACAACCCTGGCATGACTATATTTTTAAGCAGATAAACAAATGATAAATTTTAGAGGGAAAAAATTTTTTTTGAAGTTTTTTAAAATTAATTATTATAAATTAAAAAATGAATAAATTTTATAATAAAATTTATTATAAAATCTAAAATTATTTATTATAAAATTCAAAAAATAAAAAAAGATTAAATATTTACACAACCTTCATAAGTTTGATGTTTTCCATACAATAACTGTAAAAGAACAGTTTGAGTGGCAGATATAATGATGATGGAACCATCTTCACGACCCAGAACTAGACGACCTTGTAGTGGAAGGTAAACACTTGCGGTTAATTTGAAGTTAGGGTAATCAGGGGTGAGCTTTAAAAAAAAAATTCAAACTTACAATAATATTCATACACTGCATCTGCATTAAGTAAAATGACACAATTTGCTGTCATCACATGTGACAATGCTGAATTTAGAGACAATTATCTAATGTGTAATCATAATATTTTTACAACAAATTTGTTTCTAAATCCAATAGCTCTGATCTAAAATTGTATTGTTTTTAATGTGTTTAGCTTTGTAACTTTCTAATAGCAAATGTGCACATTAAATTAATGTTAATAATAATAATGTTTATATTAATTATATTCATATTAATGTTTCTATTATTTATATTAATCATATTAATGTTGGGAAATAATTGTTAACCATACCTATTTTTACTTGTAAGGACAAAGATACTTCAAAATATTCCCTATTTTCAGCAAATTTTTTTTTATCTTGAACTCGGTAACAGATTTTATTCATGCTACTGTCTCTAATCAGGTAAATTTATTATAACTATTAAAATGAAACACTTAAAACATTTAATAAACCACGATTTTAATTAAGAATAGAAAAAAAAGCTACAGTAAATTTCTCTACACAAAAACACACAGACAGCAGAATTTGTTTTTAGCATCTCTTACAGTTTTTTTTTTTTTTTTTTTTTTGCATTTATTTAAAAATATATTAAGGATTTTGAGACAATGCAAGCTTTTGTCTTATAGACATAACTATAAGTTTGTGATGAAATGGCTGTTTCTTAAATGTAAAAACAATAAAATATTAAGAATATTAAATTGAACAAGATTTTTGAAAGTCCTGGATTATAATATTTAAAACATATTAAATTGAAGCTCATATACAAAACATATGATACTGTTGTGAATATAATACTGTTATAAATATATATAATAATGTTTATATATATGGATATATATATATCTACCCTATAATAATGGAAGATACACTTGAGATTTTAATATATTTCTGACTTTTGTTTTTTTTTTGTTTGACTTTTTTTTCTACTTTGTAATTTTAATACATTTTAGTTCATGCAATTTTTCATACTTTGCATATAAAGTTTAAAGCTTTCAGAGATTCATGAGACCGGCAATAAATTATGAAAGAAAGCGATTTTGAACACCCTATGCCAGAAAATCAAGCAATAAGCTTGTAACTTGTATTGATTACTTTAGTTATTACTTTCAATAACTGCATAAAATTTTGTAATTCTAGCTTAAATATTTCTGGAGAGAGAAAATTTTTATAAGATTATTTTTGTCTTATTTGCTATTACTTTAAACATATTCCGCAAAATTAAACAAAATTTTTGAGCAATTTAAAATTAATTACAAAACTGTTTAAAATTTTTAAAAAAATTGTTAAAAAATGCACCAAATATGAGTATTTAAAGTAGTTTTTTTTTTGTACTGTGCATACACAGAAAAAATTTAAAACTATTTTCATAATTTCATAGTGAGTCATATTTAGAAACTAATAGAAAAAATTTGGGTTCAAGATCTATAAAAGTAAAAAGTTTCAAGCAATTTTCTAAGAAGTTTCTGCACTCTTTAAAAGAAAGCTCAAAATGATAAAAGGTTTTACACATATTTAATTTCATTCTTGCAGTCCAATTATTATAAGGTAGTATAATTTGCAATGCTACATTATAAAATTTGTAGAAACCCCCTGGTTGTTTTGAGCTTTCTTTTAAAAAGTACAAAAACTACTTCAAAAATCGCTTGAAACTTTTTTGCCTTTTTAAGATGTTTAAATTAGATTTTTTTCTTTGGTTGCCAAATGTGATTCACAACAAAATTATGAAAAAATAATTTTAAATTTTTTCTATGCATACGTAGTACAAAAGAACTACTTTTAGAGTAATCATATAAGAAATTGATACAAGTTACAAGCTTATTGCTTGATTTTCTGGCATAGGGTGTTCAAAAATACTTGTTTTCTTTCGAAATTTAGTGTCAGTTTCTGAAAGCTTTAAAGTATAAAAAGTTTGAAAAATCACATGAACTAAACACTTCTAAAGTTAAACAGTCCTCTCAGTGAGAAATTCAAAAAAATATCAAAAACTGAAAGTGTCTCTTCCACACATAATTATTTGTATTAAATTATTATATAATTGATGTTTAGGTAAAACCTGATTCATCTTAAATTTATACAGCCTAAATAATAAAATATTTATTTACCATTTGGTCTAGTATTCCAGCAGGGGTAGGTGACATTGAATCCCATGCTTCTTGTAAACTGATAGTAGATTTAGGATGATGTTCTATGAACGAAACAAAAGTCATTAAGCTAAAAAAAATTTTGACTGTTTATTTAATTATTTTAAATAAATTTCTTATAAATATTTGGTACTTTCTTTACTTGCTTACCTAAGAAAGGACATTTAATGAATAACAGAAATTACCTTTTTGCAACAATAAACACTATTTTTCAGAATCATACAGCTGGTTCTGGCATTCATATTCATATATATCATATTCTGGCACTAATATTTTAACTCACAAATGAATTCGATAAAAAATAATTAAAATATATATAATCAAAGTGGAAGAATATTTTATAAGATTTAAAAATTTAATATTAGATTAAATTGAAACCAATCAAGATTTCATTAATATATTAATACAATAACTAAAAATTTCTCAAATGTAAAGTCATATTTATAGTCATTATAAAATCATAATGTAAAGTCATAAAATGTTATTTTTATAATTCATTTGAGATAGTATACACAAACTATCAAGAAAATGAATTATTTGTCATTTTTGCCTGCTTTTTCCATTTGATTGGAGGGTATAAATTATAAGAAATTTTTTGTGTGAAGAAAATCGCGTTTATTTTTAATGTTTATAAAAAACACCAAAAAAAAATAATAAAAATACCAAATCAGGTATTTTTAAAAAAAATAAAGACTATTTCTTAGTTTTTCTTTAAAAAACATTTTATATTAACAAAACTTCATATAATTAGTTTAAATGATTAAAAGATTAATTCGTTTAAACTTAATGATACTTGTATCATTAACTGATAGTGAACTTACATTATTATGTATTCTTGTTTAATATACTGCATTAATTTAAAATATTTTGCATGAAGTTCAAACATTTAGAGAAAATTGAATCTCTCTAAAGTTTCAAAACATATTGTGATATTTAAATAGCTTTCAATTGGTTTATCATATCTATCACACAATTTATAAATTGGTTTTACAATCTATGAAAAAAATTACATATATCTATTATAATCCAAAGAATAGATACTTACCAGGACATGGTGCAACTTTGTCAGAAATTATTTTTTTAACATCAGCATCTGCAATAGTGGGTAAGTTCCAAAATGATACTCGACCATTCGAATCTCCACGAAGCAAAATCTTTTCAGAGTGTCCACGGGCAGAAGTGAAACTCATTACAGGAGGGCAGAGCAATCTCTAAATTAAACATTAAATAATTTTAAAGATTGATATTTAAAAATTGATGGATAACACTATGCTTTGAAAAATGATAGAACATGTCACTCAAAATATTATAAATGAAATACTTAAAAAATAGTTTTCTTAAAAAAGGAAAAATGTCATTCAATCATTATCTTGTTCGGGTGCAATTATCTATTAATGTTATGAAAACCAAAGATTTTCTTTATAAATGCACTTTTTCATAAAATGATGCAGAAAGTTCATTAAAATTTATCTCGTAATTCTTATAGACTTCATTCATTTTCTTTATAATAAAATATAATGATATATATCAATACAATAAATTTTTCCTTTAATCTCAAATTAACTCCCTGACAGTATTGCCATGTTAAATTGAGTAAACTCTGTAGAAAACTCTTTGGAAACGTTCAACTAGTAGGAATGAATCAATATTTTCAAGTCTTCTTTTAAAAGAAAAGCATCAAGGAAAAGCAATAATATAGTTTGATACTCCAAATTATTCTAATTTTATCCCGCAGAACTGTTAAGAAAAAAAAGAGATTATTTTTATGTACATACCTTTAAAGTTTAACTTTAGTTATAATTTTGCTTGAAGAAATCTGCTCGTGCAGTATACTTGTTTCACTTTGGAGAAATACATGTCCTAAGGGATATATTATAACTAATTTTTTCCAGCCTCTAAAATTTTTTTGGCATATTTGAAGCACTATAGTGCTTAAGTGGAATGAGTTTCTAAAGTCCAGCAGATCTTATGAACATTTTTATCAGTCTTTCAAAAGTGGCTATGACATAAAAACTAACTTAAAAAGCATCAATTATTTAAAACTTTGCATTGCAGATTTTTTCAACTACATTGAAAGCATTCAGTCAGCCAGCCATTTCTTTCTGATTTCATAACATGCCCTAGATTCTTAAGTGCTGTTTTTTATCACAACAATTGTTCCTTTTAGTACAGATATATATGGGGGAAAAAAGTAGAACTTACATTTGAAATTTTGAGCTTTTCATTCAAAATAGAGCCAAAATAAATAATAATTTTTTGTTATAAATATTTAGCCAAAATTATAAAAAAATAATCTTAACTAAGTTAAAACTTACATTTTTAATCACTTTACAAAAAATTAACCACCAGTTTGACTTTAAATGAGGTTCCAGGACAATCAAGTGAATCTTAGTTTCTGACATATTATTATACAACTTAATATTTTTAGTAAAATCATTTATAAATTCTCAACTTTAGTCTGTGTTGTAGTCTGCTTTAAATTTTAAAAATAATGAAATAAAGAATATTTAAACATTTCATGCTTCAACAACAGTCATGTAGTAAATGCATCTAGCAACAAAATTTTTATATAAATTTGCTCATTATCAATTGGTATATGCAAATTGGTGTAAGCAAAAATTTTATAACTTGTAACTTAGTAATGATCTTGCATGTAAAAAATTTTTTATATACACTACATATTATATATGTAACAATAGTATAATGTGTTTAGATAAAATGTAAGTAATGATTGTATCTTGTCAAATATAATAACTTAGAATATAAAACAGAAAAAATTATATAATAAGATGAATACGAGCTTATAATATATATAGATGAAAAAGTAGACTAAGATGAATACAAGTTTATAATGCAATAAAAAATGCAACACATAAAAAAAAATTTTAAATAATTACTTTTTCATTTGGTAAGGCTAAAGTTCCATACAGAAGTGGCTGATCCATTGCTTTCGATTTTGAATGAAAATCTTCACTGCTTCCATCGCAACTGAAAAATTAAAATATTCAGTAATTATTAGTTTAACATAATTAGTTTCACATTTAAATTTTAATATTCTTCAGCTCTTATACATATTCTGAGATAGTATTTAACTGTTACAAGAAACAGAGTATTTCATAAAAGTTCATACATGTACAAATTTAAAAAAGTTTTAGTTACATAAAAGTAATTGTTAGATAGTATAACTTATTGAGAAGATACAAATATTAGTTAACTGCACTTTTTTATTATGATTTATCACATAAAACCTTGTTTTCAAAATTTTACATTTTTCAGCACATTTTTCTGACAAAAATCTGAAAAATAATATTCTTACCAACATATAATTACTACTCAGGATTTTAAATTTGATAAGTCTTTAAAAAAAACTTTTATAGTTCTGCAACAAGAATGTAGAAATTAAATTGTGAAAGTTTAAGAAAAATTAAGCTTAACTTGACTCAAATGAAAAAATCCCAAACTAAATTTGAACCATGTCTGATGGTAGATTTCTTCACAATTTTATATATTATGACAGATTAGTATATAAAAGAACAAAAACTCATAGTAAGAAAATTATCTACTTTAAATACTTATCTAATGAAACTAAAACATTCAGCAGAACAAAATTGAGATATTGAAATTGAGACGAAAAATACACTAACCCAATGCTCTTTCCTCGCAGCTTGCTAATAAATAAATATTGTTTAGAACAATAAAACAAGCAAAAAGCAAAAATTAATAAAAATATATTAAATGATTTACTTAGAAGGTAATCTATACATATATCCTTTTCCACTATCACTGAAAATTAAAACTCTGTCAGTAGCTAAGAAATCACCACCCATCCAACGTTCATCTCGGGGATTATCTGCAGAGCACAACAGCGAAAAATCCCCAGCATCATAAACCTTGGAAAACAAATATTATTTGTGATTTAATATTTTAAATTTATACAACAAAAACATTTGGCAATAAATAACTATTAAATTTTATAAAAATTTATTGCCATTAATAATTTACAGCCAAAAACATAATTGACAAATGGTTCAGTATCATTAAATAATTACATGAACAGAAAAAAAACAAATCTGATTATTGCTCTCTAACATAATGTTTAAATATATACTACCTAAATGTATGATAGTCATCTGGAAAGTAAATTTCTCACGGAATATAAAAAGCTATAATAATACTGTATATCCTGGCGTATAAGCAGACTATTTAAACCCCAAAAATTTTACAAAAATCTAGGAGTTGACTAATACACCATTAATAAAGTTAGACATTCGTCGATAGTGAAATAGCGATGCATTATAAACAATGAGACAGATATGAATAACTCTGTATCAATTTAACCCTTTCAAAAACTATTAATATGTTATATAAATTAATTTTGTATTTTTTCTCATCATATTTAATTTAAATATTAAGGTTTTATTAGAAACAATACTATAAATTACGTTCAGAAAAATTTAATTTAATCAAAAATAGTTCAAAATATTGAACACAATGAAAATTTTTAAAACTTATCATAAAGCTACAAATTTAAATATTCCAGAATGCCACGAGTCGGATTCAGTAACGTTAACAGTATTGTTGTACGTATTTCCCTCAGTGATGAATTCTACTTCATCTGCTATGTTCATCCAAATAATTAGAAATTATGCACTTTTTTTAAAACGTTTTACAATAACATTTGAATTCCCATTTTCCTCAGCATCTAGAACATTTGACACAGCATATCTATGGGAACAGTGCGAATATTTCCTGTTTTTGAAAGGATTTATTTTCCTTTCATTAATCATTTATTTCAAGTTGATTGAATAATACCCTTGAAAGGTATATTTAACCTTATATAACTAAACATAAGTCTAATAGACTATCGACTCATGTCAATTTTGAGAATTCCTGTTGATGTTGCGTTTACCCTAGTTCACTCATAGTACAATAGGGAACCGATTATCCGGAACGATCGGGACCATCGCTATTCCGGATAACTGATTTCTCCGGTTTTCTGAATCGCTACAAAAAGACGTTTTTTTTATTGTTAAACATATTAACTAAAAAAAAAGTATTTGGAAATAATCTTAAAAAGAAGAAAAAACGATGAAGTAATACGCTAATGATTATTTATAAAATGATGGTAAGGTAAACATCGTTTAAAAAAGAAAGAAAAATCCAAAAATCTTATGAGGAAAGAGAAATTTTTTTTTAATAAAATGGCGGGAAAATGTATCGAATTTCGTTCCGGTTTTTTGGTTTTCTGATTTCCGGATGACGGATTCTGTACTGTACCTTCATAAATAGAAAAAAAAGTTAGCCAAAGGTGATAAAAACAGCTGTACATTTGCTAATTTTTGAAATTTACAATAATCATGTCAGATGTTTAGCTCTATCAACAAACAGTCAAATGTTTAGTTCCATCAAAATCAACATTGAAGATATTTTGAATACCAAAAAGCCCACAGACTACACAACTAAAAGTACTGCAAACAAACCCAGAATTTATGTTTTTCATTCCATCTAAGAAATGCAGAATGACAAAATATGTAAGCAAATACTGAGAGAAGGCTATTAGAGGAGAGCACACTTTTAACATTTGCCATGAGTGCAAATGATAATTTTTATAACATTTCTATTTTTAATTGAAATAATATAATACTTTTTTTATGTTACACCAATTACCTTGAAATAAATAAAGTAGTTGTTTTTAGTTCGTAGTTTATTAGTCGAATGATTAGTTACAGATTAACACTGATTTAAGTTCAGTCATCTAGGGTTAATGATGCCTCATAACATTTATTTTAGGACAATTGTATCATATCCAGAAACATCAAAAAAATCTCATTTTCGAAAAGGGAGAATCAAGCACTTTTTAAAAACACCCAATGAAAAAAAGCACCTTTAAGGGCGCGAAAATAAGCACCTTTAAGCACTTTTTGAAAATGCTACGGACCATTGTTACCCCCCATTCCCTTTAAATATCACAATTCTAGTGACATTTAAGTTGTCAAATAACTGAAATATTGGAATATATTTTGCAATATATCTTTTCAGGTAATAAAATTTCTCTTTTAATGAGCTGAGGGAAACTTTTTCCCAAATAGCCCTTGTATCTTGATCTTATTAGTATCATTTAAAGAATTTGCATATTACACTATTTCATTGTTCTCAGATATATACACATAATGTACACATGTAAGGTATACATATATTATCTTTCTCACTATGGCATAATATTTAAGAAATTGCTTTTGAATTTCACTTTATCTCTTTTACATACATTGATGAACTGGAAGCAATATTTTATGGCATTCAACAACAAAATAAATTATAATTAAAGATATGAAAAAATTTCAAATTAATAAATTAATATGTATTACAGCTGATTGTTTATAAACGGGTTGTGACGTGTGTATGGCTGATGTCATATTTTTGGCCATAGATGGCGCAGCTGAAAAACAAGAAATGCACAATATGTCTTAAATATGCTTGGTATAACCAAGCAGGCTTCCTGGCTTGGCAAGTGGCATTAAAAACAACAACACAACAGAGCTTATTATAGTTATATTTACCTGCCAATATTTGGTACAAACAATAAGAAGTGTCCTTTGATTAAAAGCACAACAGGTCAATTTCAGGGCATTCAGGCATCGAATTGGCTTTGACTCATCTTCATAAACTCGTTCATTCTATTAAAATAAAATAGGTTTTTAAAAAAAACACTTAAATTAAGACAAAAATTCAAACAATATTTTATATAAATTGCAAAATAAATTAAAGCACTACAAATTATTAATTAGTATAATTCTTAAATTTCGAATAATACCTCATCCTTATAACTTGGACATATTTAGTATTGTTTGTGTATTAAAATTAAACATAAAATTAATAAGTTAAAAAACTTTAGCTAACAAAATATAAGTAGCAATATAAAGTTCTCAATATAAATTAAACAAAATATAAATTAAATAAAATATGAAAAAAAATAAATATTGTTATATGTTCACCTAATTTAGATTTGATGTACTTCAACTAATCTATTAATAACAGCAAAAAAACTATAGTTGACAACAAGTCAGTTAAGGTAAGTTGAAATTGTAAGTCCAATCCCAATTTTCAATAGCGTTTGGAATAAGAGATTAATCTGTGGTTTCTGTACAAATCTTCACATATGTTCTTCACATTATTAAATAAGAAATCAGACAATAAAACTGGAAAAATCATCTGACCATTATTTTAACACTTAAGATATCTGTCTGGGTAAAAATTAGCTGTTTCGGCAAAAATTTTATTATTAATATTTATACTTTTGTTTATTAGCTTTCCAAAACTCTTTAAATATTTGTTCTCCAATTTTTAGAAATGAAGCTATAGTTGTTTTATCATATGTCGACAGACAAAACAGAAAAGGAAGTAAACTCCTTAAAGTGAAACTATAATGTTTTTTGTTATGCTTTAAGTATTTTAATCTTTTTCATTAGAATAAATTTTATGTTCCAGACAAATATAATTTTCGGACATTAATTCTTGAATAACTAATTTTTTTGCTGACAGAAGTTTCTAGCATTTTAAATGCATCGTCTGAAAAAAAAGTTACATTTGAGAAAATTTAAATTCACTAACATGCAATACAAAAAAGTTTATTTTAGAATTTTTTGAAACTTTGTATACAGATGTTGTATAAAGTTAGCTATGATTTGAACTAAAAGCTAGGTCTAAGTGAGAATTTACAATTTTTATCAATCTTTAAGTAAGAATGTTTAGAAACTTTTCAATTGAAAAATCAATAATAAACAATATATTTAGTTCCATTTCATTGTATAGTTGAAATTTTTAAAAAATTTTAGCTCAAAACACGGGTAACAATATTATTGATCTAGTAAAAAATTAATTTTGATATTTAGGTTCCGCAATTTGTTTTAGAGTTCTTTGCCTGACATGAAAAATTTGTAGTTTTTATGCTTAAATTTGAAAAAATTATTTTAAAAAAATATTTTATGAACTTTTTAAACTATTTCAAAAAATTGTGTCAAACCCAGTCGGACGTCTTGAAGCGAAAATTAACACTATATTTTAAAAATGATATTTGAAAATAGTCCTTGCAAAGCAATAGAAAAAATTTAAAAGACTTCTTTGGATAGAGATATATTTAAAATGCTAAAAAAGTTTAAAAACTTCCAAATTCCATAAAAAAGCTTCACAATTCAGTATGCTAACAAAAAGTATTTGAGTACTTTTTTTAATGTATCCAGCATCTTGGCAATTTTTTTCTCTCTATACTTCAACTTATTTGACAAACTGTGCAAGATTATAGAACAAAACATTTAAAATCAGAAAATACTCCCACAAACTAGCTACATAGAACTATTTTATTGATGAAAAAAAAAAAGATATAATTACTTTAGCTTCATTTCCAGTAATTGTCCATACTTTGATATAACCTGAAGCAGACAAACCAACAACAATGTCATCTAGAATAAGGAATAGAAATTAAATTTAAAACTGGACAATTAAGTTTTTATCTTCTGTATTAAGTTGAAGTGGCAGATTTACCATGACTTTTCACAGGACGAAGAACGTGTATTGCACTCATCCAATCAGGATTAACACGTGACGATAAAGTGAATAGAATATCTAACGTGAGAACATCCATTACTAGAATCTCTGCATAATAACCATTACAAAACAACCGCACATCATTTGATTTAGACACATGATAAGACTGTAACAAAAAATTATAATTAGTTTAGCATAGCACAATAAAAAGTCTTTAAAAACAGGTTGAATAAAATTTATTTTTATAAAAATGATTGGAACTGATTTGTTGACCATCTGCATACAATGCTTGGTGATTTTTTTATCGCCAACCACTTCAGGTGCATTTTTGTGGCTGCTTAAATCACTTAGTCAAATATCGCAACCTTATTAAACTCTAAATTCACTTGCATTACAGCAGTTTTTTAACAAAAAAATGCATTTCATAAATAACTGCAGATCTCTATAAAATGTTATCACACATGCAACTGTTTTATTATGCATCTGCACTCCAAGCCAAAAACGGAATCACAGATTGCAACTCTATGGAATTTGAAGTTCACTTACATAACAGTCAACAGACATGTGATTGTTAGAAGATATTATCTGAAATGTTTTTCTCAAAGTGTGTGTGTGTGTGTTTTCTAAGTACATAGAAGATTAACAAAAAACTATAATTTTTACGCATAAAAGTAAAACTCATAAAATTTAAAGAGAAATTTCTTTTTTATCAAATAAATTTTTTCCTCATCAACAAGTAAGAGAATATAAATAAAAAAATTGCATATTCCTCCTTTTTCGCAATTAGCAGGTCGTCATCACATCAAAAAAAATTTAACCATGAAATCCACAGCAACAAATAAAAAGAGGTTGATAATAAAACAGCATGTATTTTTACATCAAATCACGTGAATCGTATGTGTCAAAAAGGATAAATTAAATTATAACTTTCAAGATTCAGGTCTTCTATTGAAAAATACCTTATTAAAAGTATAAAGATTTTAAAAAATATGTGAAAATTAACAGTGATAACTGCTGAAAAAATGCTTTAAAAAAATAGAATGACCACATCAAATAGTGAACATTCAGGCAAGCAATTTAAATTTCCTGTATCATAATATTATGGAGATTTGAAAAAAAATCATGTGAAAATCAACAGCAATAATTGCAATAAAAAATGAAATGCTGCATGGATTTTGCCAAAATTGAGCGCATGAAAAAGTTATTACTCAAATGTGCAAATTTAAATTTCTTGTTTCTTAATAATATTGTATGAAAAAATCAGGATTTAAGAAACCCACACAGATATCAATAGCAATTACTCAGAAAAAATTTATCAAAAAAACAGTATTATCGTTGTGTAAAAAAGTGACTAATAAATGTATGAACTGAATTTTGCATGTCGTAATAATAATGCATAAAAAATAGAGCGATTTAAAAAAAAACATTGAGAAAACTCGTAACCTATATAAGGATCTAAACACCTCATGGATTTACGATAGTATAAACAAGTTACTCAAAAGCACAAATCAAATTTTGCGTACCGTAATAATATCAAAATTTTAAAAACTATGAGAAATGAGAAAATCAGTTGCATCAACTGCAAAAAAAAAAAAATAATTGAAAAAAATTATTGAAACATTGAAAAATGATTACTGAAATGGATGATTCAAGATTTCCATGTTCTAATATCATATTACAAATTTGTTCGATATAATTGAAACCAAATAAAAATTAGGGCAATTATTTTACTTCGATTAAAAAATACTTCTGTTACAAATCGGATTCTCTAACTAAATTGCTACTCTTTAAAATATTATAAATGTTAGAAAAAGGCGAACAAAAATTTTTTTTCTCCAGCAAACTATCTTTTAACATGCTTGTAATGTTTCACTGTAGCTAATCTGCGTAAAAGAAAAGTTGTTATCACATATGAATGAGAACGAAAAAAAGAGATTGATGGTAAGGGTGAAACAAATGTCTCAATTATGAGATTTTGCATAAGTAATGAAATTGAAACTTTAGATAAACAAAAAATTTTGTAGTAGATATTGACGAGAAAATCTTGTTGGAAAATAAATTATTGATCAACAGTCTTGATATTTGCAAAATTCTGCAAAATTAGCAGAAGAATCACATGCCTGAATCAGTTTTAAGCAATAGTGCAGAACAATAACAATTATAACTAAAAAAGAAAATAAAATAAAAACAGTGAAGGGTATACAGGACAGTGACATTTATCCTTTGAAAAAACATTAGTGTAGGTATAACAGGCAGTGGCACTAAAAAGCAAAATTAAAACTAAACTATTATAAAAAAATAAAAGCATAGGAAAATTGAAAAAATACAGAAAATATTAAACTACTATTTTACAAGGCTAGAAATGTTTTATTATATCTCTAATAAAGTTTCATAAAAATATAGCAATATGTAAACACATAACTGTTACTTAATGACCCTAAACAGACATATAAAAGAAGACATAAAAAAAAACACATTAAAGTTAGTCACTTATAAAACGTGTATCCTACTTCTTTTCTTATATATTATTCTTTGAAAATATCATCATTTTAGCAATTGCACAGCAATAAAAACGTGACATGATAGCCATGCTAAGTTTTTTTTACATACAATAAATTTACTTCTTAATACACACTCAACATAGCAATAGATTACAAAATCTAATATATAGTTTCCATATATAGTTCCAATATATAGTCACCATAACATTCATCCCGCAGAAAAAAAAGTCCCATAAAATTCAATCCTAAAATCACAAATTAATAATTTAATTTTCCCAGAAAATTTTGTGTAGAAAGATAAAACTCAAATAAAACATTCAATCGTCAATAATCCCAACTGCAAATATCCATCTCCAATACAATCTCCTCATTTTCATGATACGCATAAATACAAAATTGTCATAGGCATGACGGAAACACCAAATATCCATCCTAATATAATCTCGCCTATGTCAGCATTCTATTTAAATTTCCATGATAACTAAAACCAAATTATTATAAGCTATCGCCTTACTTGGTAATAATTGTTTTTTTAAAACAGATGCAGATGCATAACAAATCTCAGCTAAATGACTAGTTGTAAAAATCTTATCGAGTTTACATATTATGCCATATATTTTTATAAAAAATAGCTCTCAGAATAACATATAAATCACATTATTTTTTAGTTTACACAAACCTTTTAATTCTTTGATAAAATTTGCTAACAATTAAAATTACTCCCCTTATATGTAGTCTAAATAAGTTTACAAATGCTTTGATAGTAAGGAGAAAGCTAAACAAAGATATATAAAAAAAACAGCTGGTTGAGAATAGTGATAAAACTGAATCTTTTAAATGCAAGAGAATTAAAAATTTAAAAATAAATTTTTAAGACTTTTCTCTATAAAGATTTTTTCAAATGATAATATTAGCAGATAAGCTTCTTAAAAAGAAATTTCATATCAAACACCCAACACTTTGAGTTAACAATAAATGAAACTAAGAATATAAAATGCTCTAATATCATAATAAAATTAAACTAAATGATAATTGTATCAAAAAGAAATGGATAAACATATTTACTAATATATATTATAAATATATTAGCATTTTCAAATAAATAACAGTACAGTATATGCAAGTAAATTAATTTATTATTTTAGTTTTTACATTAGCTAGTTAAAATTCAACTATTTTAATAATATTTAGGAATAACCCTAGAATCCATATACTACTGAGTGGAAAAGAATAATTTAGAATAAAGGCAGCAAATAAACAAGGATAAAACAAGATAAATAACAAATGTATCTTGTTTCTTTAATGCTGATATTTTTTTTGGTAATTTCTTTTGACACTAACTGGTGAATAAAATCAATGCTTTAGGATTTTAACTTAAAATGTTTTTAATTTTTTTCTAATAAAATGAGCCACATGAACATAAGTTGCATTGTTAGTCTAGCTCTGAGTTCATGTTCATTCTTCAGGCATGTAGTGCAACACATGATTCATTAACATTTAAAAGTATTTTTCACTCTTTTTTAACCCTTTTTTAGTGAGATTTTTTTCCAATTTTCGACCCCCAAAAAAAGCTTTTTTTTAATTGCTGAAAATTAATATAAGTTCTATCTTAAATTTGAAAATGCCATTTAATATTTTGGCCAGAAAACAATTTTTTGCTTGACTTTGAGGTGGTGAAATATGTGATGTTCCTTCCACTGATCTCCAGTTTTCCCTGCAATGCACCCAAGTTCTATCTTAAAAAAATACACTGGGATATATTATTTTTTAACTCTATTTCTTTAACGTGTTCAATATTTGTTTACCTAATTTTAAAAGTAAAATAATTATTAAAATTAGGTAAAAAATATTTTGGAAAATAATTTTCCAACCTCACCTCAACAGCCTTACAATCAGTCTTGGGGATCAGAGCGTAAAAATACATTTATCGCAAAAGTGAAATAATTTATTACAGATTACATGTAATAGTAACATTAATGAAAAATAAATAACAGAAAGTACAAAATTATTTTGATTTCTATTCAAGATGGGAAATATCACTGCAAAAGTTGTGATGAAAATGGGGACTAGTTGCACCATCACTTAGCAATATTTAGAAATACAAAAATAATAACGAGATTTAAAGAGGTGTATAAGTAGCGACAAATTCAATTTCAATTACATAATTTTTCTCTTCGTCACATGACATGCAACACAGACTATACGGGCACAAAAACGTTTAATGTATGAGATGCGATGCTGACAGAGAAGAGGTTAACATTCCTTAGTTGAGCAAAGCTCCAATTTCACATACATTTTTCAGTGGGTGGAGGAGAAGATAGTTTAGAAACATTCTTTATCACTAACATCAAATGCATATTAATTTTTAAAGCTGATGCCAACAAATTTAAATGGAAAGTTAATCCGTTTTATTATATGTATATCAGACAATAGGCAATAGCTTACCAAAAAAAAAAAATTAAATTGATATTTTGTTTTAAATAAAAACATTCACATTTTTGCTTTAAATAAAAAAAAGTGAAACTTTAAGGAAAGAAATAACTAAACTATTAACGATAGCATATTACTTAGTTATTGTGGCTTTATCAAATTAAAATAGATCCCCAATCAAAAATTCCTTTCAAATTAGCTTATACTCCCAATGAAGAGTTTCCCAACATTTTAGTTTTGCGAAATATGAGATATGATTGGAAAACAATATCTTATTAAAAATACATTATAAAATACACGAAAATTTTTAAAACAATAATAGAAAGAGGAGTCATACATGAATGGCTGTGTGAATGTACTGCAACTTAACACTCTCAAGACAACGTCCATCAGTTACATCCCATAAAGACATCTCTCTAAACAGTCAAAATAGAGATATTAAATTAAGATAATAGAGATATTAAATATATGATACAAAATCAAATATATGGAATTATAAATAATTTTACAATGATTTTTTTTTCCATCCTTGAATCAAAATTTAAAAACATGAGTTGATGATAAATAAATTCTAATAATCTTTGTAATTAGAATTCATAAATAGAATTCATAAATAGCTTATAATGTCTAAACAAAAGAACTAAAAAATTCAATTTAAAGTATGTTTGATTAAAAAATATCAAGATATTTTAAAAATATTTGCAATAGTACAATGAATAAATAAATAAAAAATATATCAAGGTTACAAAAGCAATAAAATGAAGAAACATAAGAATCTTTAGCCTTCCTCGGCACCACGCCTAAACCATGAATCTTTAACTTTGGCAATAAACAGGTTCATACTTTTGGTATGGTACTAACAATATATCATATTTTGTTTCCTACGTGATACAATGAATGACCATAATAAAACTCTTAGGCTATTTTTACAAGAGCAAAAAATAGTAATTTTAACAAGATATATATAAATTTTTACAGTAGTATATGTTATTATATGACGTGTGTAGAAATTGATTTTTTTTTAAACCCTTTTGGATGCAGAGTGCCCAGTCGGTGTCAGAAAAAAATGCATATTATTAACCTCTAGAAATTTAAAACTATGTATAAAAATAACAACTAGAAACTAACTAAAACTAATGGTCTACAATATTTAACAACAACTATTCTTTAAATAACATAAACCTCTAATAAATCCATCTACTGTATATAGTGACAGTTGCCAATATAGTCAATCATCATCTAAAATTTCTTGTGTTGGAAAAGCTAAGTGGTTGCAATTCTTATTTTACCCTGATTGCAAACACAGTAAGCCTATAGTAATAATTTAACCCATTGGCTTATGTAGTTGGCTCACAGTGGGTCACAGCTTTCAAGTCTGTTATTCTATTGCCAGCTGTGAGACGGGCTGAGCAGCTGTAACTTTTTCTTATTGCATTAAAAAAAATTACATAATTTTGAAAAAAGGTTATAGACATATATTGATGGCCTCATGTAAATGGATCATACTACTTTTCTAAAAAATCCAAGAAGAGTTTTATCTGTCAGCCAGAAAGATATCTTAATCACTTATAAACCTCAATCATGCTGAAAAGATTTATTGCTGATGAAGATTTTAAAAAATATCTTGAATTGATAAGGTGATTATGTTTTTAAAAAAGAAATAGGAGGTTACGGTACTTTTTAATTGCAAGAAGAAGGTAATCTGTGACATCTAAGCACATTTAAGTCAAATGGCACTAACTTTATAAAGATTCCTCGTCATGTTTTAATAAATAATAAGTGAGACTTCATGAAATATATTAAAAATTATAAAGTAGTGAAAGAAAAACAAAAAATTTTCCAGTTAATAACTACTCTATACACAGGGTGCGTAGCCAAATCTTTCAACAAAAATTTGCCCCTTTCAAGTACTTTTCAAGCACTCAAAAAATATTTTTAAGTACTTTATACTTTAACAAGACTACACGATCATGATAAAATAATAAGTTTCTGAAAAAGATTTTTTTTTTTTGATTATATAAGCCATCATAAAAATATGTAGAGGTTTATCGTGAATATATTTTTTACAAAAAGTATGGGAAAAAATAAAAATTTTCAGATTCAAAATAAATTAAATATTATTTATCTTACCCAGCTTCAGAAGAGCTAACTAAGAGTGTACTGTCTGAAGACAAGCTTCCATGTGTGAGACAAAGAACAGCAGCCGAATGGCCAAACAACAAGCAACGGGGAGTAATCTATAGAGAAAAACTAACATTACAAAGACAAAAAAAATCATAAATACAATATACAGTGAAAATTCGGTTCAATGGACACTCTTGGGATGGAAAAAAACAGTTTTTTTTACGAGAAGGGCACACTAAAAATGAAGGCTAACAAAATATACTGTTTTTAGAATAATTATGAAAATGTAGAAATAATAAAACCGTTTGTAAGTATTTATATTGATATTTATTTAAACTTAATAAAATCATAATTATTACGATACAAAAAAAGAAATAGATGAAATTTGATACATGTACATGCTTTTCTTTTATATTTATCCAATTGAAAAGAAATATGTGATCGGTCAGGAGTCTGTCCAGTCATTTTGTGAAAGGTCCTGTTTTTGTAAAATTGTGGAAACATTACTCGTAATTTGTGAATATAAAATAAACGTTAAATCGCATTCTTTCAACCAGGGTCCTGCTTTTGTGAATTTGTGCAAAAAGGGATTATTGCAAGACTTTTTCAAGGAGTTTTTAAATTGTAAATAGATATAAGATTATGCTCAACACTGTAAAATTATAATAAAAAAATTAAATTTTCAAAAACAAACAGCAATTGCTGCTACTAAATTAGAGATGCAACATGCAAATATTAGGTATTTAGCCTAAACTACTGAATGCAGAATATTCATTTAGGACGAATAAAGAAAGAAGCGTCTGCAGAAAACAAAACTTAGTTCGTTTACATCTGTTAAACTGAAACTACCTATTAAACTGAATACATTTTAAATTTTAATCATTATTTTTAATTATCTCTAAAAAAAAACAAAAAAGTTTCGTAATGATACAAATAAATTTTTGTAAGCCAAAAATAGTACATACGATAGTCTGAGAAACTAAACAATAAAATTTTTTCTTCGTAACTCCATAACTGATTTAATATACAGAACAATAAAAACCTTTCTCTTTGTTTAGTACTTTCATTATAAATCAAATCAGTACTGTTATTGTAATTATTGTTTTAGTAGAATTGTAGCAGAATAACAAGTAATCTATTAAAAGTAAGATCTTAAATGTGCAAAAAAAATTAAATTTGTTTCTCATAAACAAGATAATAATCAAATAAGAAAATTTTTTTTTATATATATATACGATAAGTTTAAACATAAAAACAAATAAAACCGACATATTTGTTCTAAACTGAAAAGATATCATCACATAATTTTGCTCAATCACAAAAATATTAAAAAATAAATTACATAACTGTTTATACTTCTAAAAAATAAAATCTGAAAGGAAGAAACATTAAATAAAAATAAACACTACAAAAAAATTTTATATTTACTTGCATCTAAAACAATAATGCAAAAAAAGAAAATGTAAGAAAAGAAGAATCTGCAAATTAAATTAATACTGCCTCAATTTTTAAACAATAAAAGTAAATACAATAAGTTTATTGAATAATTTTTTTCTAAAATTGAATACTATTTTTTATGCAAATATGAAATATTAAATGCAAGCTTGTAGCCTGAAATATTGCTATATTACACCTACCTGCAAACCTTTATCTGATGTTGATACATCCCAAACACAAATACGACCATCATTACACCCAGTAACTAAAGTTCTTTGATCATGAGTTAAATGAATAGCAGATACACAGTGTGTTGGGGCTTTATTACCCCATAATACAATAGGGACTACAAGTTGATTTGATATAGTCATGGTGGAATTGAACCTATAAAATATTCAGAAAAAAAAACTGATCTAAAGATATAAAAACAAGCAACAAATTTCAAAAAATGTCTTTCTTTTATAAATATATAACAGCTCTTTTATTACAACAAGAAGTCAAATTAAAAATGAATAAATATTATATTTTATTCTATTTTATAAGCATTGTTGAACAGCCGACCCAATTTCTGGGTTTACGACTACTAATGTTCATCTCCGTAGCCTTGTAATTTTGAACCCAATCCAGAAGACAAAGGAACTCCTGGATCAAGTATTGGGAGAAATTTGCCTTCGTGGAGGACTTTTTGATGGAACTAATCCGCATTTGCGTTATATGGAGAGGAAGATCATGAGAACCTCCCACGATTAGCCTGACAGCAAGGGAACTCTAACCCATGATCCTCCTACCACTGAGGATATTTTACGTCAGGACTGTGGTCTTTGCAAGCCAGATGCGGAATTCGTATCGACCAGCCATCGCCGGGATTGAACCCTGGTTCACCTGATTGGAAGGCGAATGCCATCGCGGCTCAAATATTATATTTTATATCTATTATGTATTATAAAAGTAAAAGAGAATGAAACAAAAAATTCTTACAGTATTATTACATAAGTTCAGTTTCACTTCTTGACAAGTGATTTTTTTTTTTAAAACAAAGATTAATCCGCAAAATTTTACTCAGCCTCCTGAATTCGTGTTGAAAAATAAAATACCAAAATTAAAATATATAGTTTTAAATACAATGGGAAAAACGATAATGTTTTATTTTTTATAAACTAATCTGTAGTTTCAGGTTTTAAAAATCATTAGGTTTAAATCCACTCCACCAATTAAACAATACCACATTTATAAGAAATGGATACATTGCGTTTGTAGGTAATGAGACAAGAAACGAAACTATTAACTAACTATGATGATAAATTATAAATGATTGAATTTAGTGTAGGCGTTTTGATTAACCTTGAATATAATCAATACTATAAAAATAGTGGAAATGAATAAATTTACATAAATCCCTAAAAGAGTATGTTTGCAAAGAATTCATAAAAAGCTTAATAGGGACACAGATTGATTGAATACAGTCACATCTAAAATTTTTCAAAAGAAAAAAAAAATCATCTGTAAACACAAAAAAAATACAAAGGAGCATTATTCCACAACAGTACCTATTCATACCAACTATAATTATCAAGGTACTAAAATCCTAGATTTAGTACATATAAAACCTGGTAATACATATGTCTAAATTAAGTACATACATATAAAAAAAACTTTTAATTGGGATAGAACTTTGTGGCCATCTTGACAGAAGTACCAAAGGAAATCTTCGCAATACAAGAAACAATAGGTGCGACTAAATTCTTTCTTTTATGAACAAAACAAAGTTTTTACTGTTATCAAATAGTCAAAATATTTTTAATTTTATTTCGATCGTGTTAACAGAAAGATTCTCTTAATATTTTTACCTAAGTGACATCAGTTTCGCTTCTAACCCAATTAAAATATTCTCCAGAGGTTAACTTTTAACTTACTCAATCTATTGGGGGAAGAAAAATGGATAAAATGTAAATTTCTCAGATTATACTGAGAAAGAGGAACCGAAAGATTCCCTTAACATTTTTATTATGAGTTTAATTTCCTTTCTCAATTTCAATTTTTGATTAAAGCTTAAGCTTAACCTACACTAATTATTGCAATGAGGATAATGAATGAAATGTAAAAAATATTAAATATAATGAGAAAGCAATAAAAATCTTTTTTTACACAATTATATATTTCATACACTAACAGTTTTAGACTTTAAAAATCGCGTTACAGTCCATCCAACTAATACTGTATTTATACCATATGGATACATTGCACAAAACTCGGCAATGAGATAAGAAACAAAACACTGCAGTAACTATTGACAAGCTAGGCTGCTAAATCCAGGTTAACTTCGAACCAACGATAGATAACGAATAAAAATTTATTAAATTTAAACAAAAATACAATTAAAAAAACAGTTAACGTAAATTTAAAAAACAGCACAATTGTAAAAAATTTATAAAAACTTCCTAATATTTGACAGCATAGAAAAGTGAAACATTATTTTATGAGGGGGATATAGTATGATAAGTTAAATAATATTATGTAATCTATAAAAAATATTGTATAAAAAAATTTCAACCAATACACATTTCATAAAAGAAAACAAAAATTAAACAAATTTATATTTTAACTTATTAACATTTTTACCTAATGAAAAGGTTTTAATATTAAGTCAACATTATTTTTGATCTGAGAACGTATATAAATAGACTTAATAATCATTGAGCTAGTCTCTCCTGTTAGAATATTAAGTCAAACATTTTTAATAAACACGCCCGAAATTCCACAGACGGTAGTTTGAGAGATTTATTTACATCTAAATGTTCAGTTATGCACGTAAATATTAAACAAAAACTACAATAAATTTCCTACGAAATCTCACCTACAGACTGCACGTTAAATTGGCGGTGTAGTGGTCTTGAAATCGCATCACGCTGATGTTAATCATGATTTCTTCAAGAAGTAAAATGGTAATATTGGTTGGTTAAAATCGTTTTTGAGCTGAAAAATCACTTTTACGACTAAAGAATAATGGAGCGAAATTACAAGTAATTAGAAACATCGCAAACTATACTCCTGATGAAGTTAATATTTAGAAAACTAAAAATATAGCTAACAATTTATACTCCTGGTGCACTCAAAATTTTAATTCGCGATGGTAACGTTCGAATACGCACCTAGGGAGAAGATCGGATCCATGTTTTACCACTCTCTTTCTCATCTCAGCTTTATAGGAATGTACTATGATATTTTAATATTTTTCGTATTTACTTGTCAAAAATATTTTTGTTTAAAAACTTCTACGACGTTTTCTTCTAGACGTGTTCAATGTAGGTTTCATTTCCATATAGTTTTCAAACTTAAAAGTTTTTCATTCATTTTTTCAAATAGATTCAAATAGAGTGTTTCTAAAGACAGAAACTAACGTACTTGCTTCTCCTATGTCTCTCCACCCTCTAATGGTGAAAGAATGCAAAGTGTTGCAATTGGTAGAAAGTTCTGCTGCTTAAGTCACCTGCCCATTTCGATCGCCAATAATCGAGCTTGATTTCGTCCGAAATATCGAACAATGGCGAAAATATCCCTGATCGTTTGATAATGGTTTAAAATTATAATTAAAAGCGTGTATATAGTTTTAAAGTAAAACTTAGAAGAATATTTAATTACCAATACCCTTTAGTATCAACCTGCCCACTCCCCGGAAGTCAGCAGGAAGCGGGTGGGAGTCAAGTTTGGCATAATTTTTGCGATCTGACATGAATTTTATATAATTGGGTACCTGAAACTAAAAAAAAGTGAAGTGATTATGATTAACCATGTGAAATCAGATTTAATTAGATACCTGAAAGCGACGTCACGCGTGTGTGTTGAACCTGATTGGCTTCTGAATCGACAAATGCCACGATTTAACTACGATGACATTACTTTCAGGTATCCAATTGACCTCACCATTTTATACGATATTTATCTCATTTTCAGTTTGTAATTACATCTCCAAGTGTAAACTAAAGTGCAAAGGCCTGCAACTTAAAATGGAGTGTTTTTCTTCTGGACAATCATCTGCAACAGAAAGGGGAGTCCCATTTAAGAATTAAAAGATGATACCTTGTAGGCCAGAGATGGGCATTTGTCATTCAGAATATTGAATTAAGGAATGCTGAATTCAAAATCCTCCTGAATAATTAATAAAGATTTATTCATTAGTCAGAAATATTTTGAATAAAGAATAAATCATTCATTATTTTCAATCATTATTCTTTATTCATTAGTCAAGAATAACTAAATAATTTCACTGCTCAACGAAAATGGGCACGGGATACTCTAATTGACTACGATTGTGACAACTACAAATGAAACGTACATGGTAATAAACGACTTGTAATTAATTTTATAAGTTACAAGTAACGATTTCAGATAAAAAGTGATTATGATTACCTGTAATCACAACAAGATTCGATAACTGGTACATGGATACAAGTGACTAAAATCTTTTATTTTGAACAAACAATGTAATCAATATGTTTGATTATAAGTAGTCATTTTTACCAGCAATCATAATGTCACGAATAATTGTAAAAATAGTTACTGCGCGAATACATAAATATATTGCACATATGAGCACTTAACTACGCTGTATGTTTATGCGTGCATATACACGAGCGAGCACTGTATATAAATACTTGCATGAATAAGTAAAAAAAGTTGAATGCTTACATACATTGTATATCCGTACATAGTATATCTGTACTTACGTACATTGTATGTTCAAGTGTACATGCATACGTAAGTAAGGCACCCAATGTATGTTAGTATATATGCATGTATGCACACAAAGTATGTAAGCAAACGTGCGTATGTGTTCACAGATGCACATAGTGTACGTATGTACATAATGTACATATACACATAAAATGTATATGTATGTATGTAAATATATACATACAACGTACCCCCATATATATACAGACGTGCATAAAATAGTTGGGTGTCGATTACAGGAATCAATTACAGGCAATTACAGCTATGTAATCAATTAATTGCAATCGTGATTGCTATTTTCAATGTATGTATTCAAGTAAGCACAATCTATGCATATACAATTATACATGCACTCGGTATATATAAATATATTGTACATACATCCGACATGCATACATTGTACACATGTACCTAAATTTTAATTGCTCCATATCATTTTAAAAATATTTGAATAAAAAATCCTTTTCAAGTATTTTTATAAAATATTTGAGGATATTTACTTTTACGTAATATAATGCATAGTTCAGAGAAATGTTTGCATGACAAAAAAGCGTTAATTTTTTAAGTTAAAATTATCTTAAAATATATCTATGTATGAGTGATTGTACGTATGCTACATATATATATGCACGTCTTCATATATAAGAACTTACATGCATTGCTCGTTCATTAATAAATTGTATTTATAAACGTACGTTCATTCTACGTACAGAAAAATACGTTAACACACACAAACATACATACATTATAATAATAAGCATATAGTATGCAATCGTAATTACTTATAATAGTATGTTATAATTACATGTACTCACAATTACTCGCAATCATGATTACTTGTAATAACGTCATGTAATCATACATTTTGATTACTCAATCTAATCACTCGTAATCGTTTTTTACAGTGATTACAAATGAACACAATATCATCTTATTCGTGTATTTCCGAATGTAATTCTATGTTTAAAAGTTTTCATGTAATAAACCAAACAATAGTAAACTAAAAAATTCATTTACATATACAATTTATGCATTGTTTTAAAAGTATTCAATTACCTACAATCTCTATTACGATGTAATCAAGCCCACTTGAAATTATGATTACATCTACTCCTGTTGTAATAGTATATATCATAATTACTTGAATTTAAGATTACCTGTAATTGTTAGATTATGATAACTTGTAGTTATGATTTCTTGTAATCTAACTTTATGATTACAAGTAATCACGATGGCTTGAAATCCCAGGGCCAATTATTTATAATTCTGATTATCTGAAATCACGTTTTGTTGTGATTATAAATAATCATAACCGCTTGTAATGGGAAATAATAATTATTTATTTTCGTGATTGTTTGTAATCATGATCATTGCAAGTAGTTGATTTATCTAAAATTAATTATATTTGTAATCGATTACTGTAATTGACTCGCAACTTGCAATGGTAATGACATAATACTTGGATATTTCGCTGGTTATTCAAAATTTTATTCATAAAAATTAATCATGACTAATGAATTTATTCATCAATCATTATTCAAAAATTTGCATAATGAATGATGAATAATGACTAAATTTGCATATGAATAATCATTCAGAATAAATTTATTCTGAATAAATTTAGTCTTGAATAAAATTTACGCGAATGATGCCCATCACTGCTGTAGGCACAGTTGATGGTGAGTGATTATAGTAGCACATACTATTAAACCTGCTGATTTAAATATGTTTTATTAAAAGCAGTACCAGATTGATACAGCAAACAACTAAAAAATAATTACATATTATGCAGCTTAAACATATAAGGGAAACATTATACATCACCCGGATGCAACGGCATAGTAACTAACGTAAATTATAATGAAGAGACAAGGTGAAAAACTACTTTCGACAACATGCCTTTTATACACCGAAGAGCCATTACATTATGACCACCCTCCATCTATAACAATGAGCTCGCCCAGGAACAATGTTTTCATGGAGCACATTAGGACCCATAATCCTCATAGAACAATCCCTGACGTCTGTAAGCTACTTGAACATAGTTGCAGACCAGGTTCACCCATTCATGGCAACAGTTTTTCCTGCGGGGGATGGTGTTTACCAACAGGATAATGCACCATGTCATAAGGGTCGAATCGTCATGGATTGGTTCGAGGAACATTCCAGTGACTTTCAAGTCATGTCTTGGCCCCCAAATTCACCTGACCTTAATCCAATAGAGCATTTGTGGTCCTACTTGGAAAACCAAATTCGTGCTGCCACGCTACCCCCTCGCAATGTGAGGGAATTGCAGGACCAGTTGGTGAGCGCTTGGTACCAGATACCTCAGACTACCTATCAGCACCTTGTGGAATCAATGCCACGGCGGGTGCTAGAAGTTTTGAGGGCTAAATGTGGTCCTACATGTTATTAGCAGGGTGGTCCTAATGTAATGGCTCTTCGGTGTACAAATTCAGTTATAACATGTACACAGAATGACGTCACTTACGATGCCTGTGAAGGATAATATACCTGTTGCCAACACACAATCGAAACTTTATTCTGTTAATTCAATATGCTCAGAGGAGTTACATACCCTTACATATTCCGAGGGAGTGAGTTTGGAGGTTAAGTTTGGATTTATTGAATTCATCATTTATGCGATTATTTTTAGATTCGATTCATATTCTTTGAAATATTTAATCATTTCCTTACTTTTAAGACACCCTGTATAGCGCTAAAATAAGAGCACATCCTTTATTTTGTGATTCATTTGAAAACACAGTATTCATTAAATCTGCTTTAATATTGAAATATTTGGATCATATTTATTAAAATTTGTTTTGAAAAAAAAAATCTTACTTAGTTTTGCATTCGTTTAGTCCTATAGCTAATAAGCTTATACAGAGCTAAATTTAGGTTTTAAGTTTTGCAATTTTTTTTAAATAACGTCTTACAACACTGGATTTATTTAAAACTTGTTCCATTTTAAAATTTGGGTGTAATATTTTCCAAAATTTTTTAAATAAGTCTAAAGCACATATAATTTTTATTTTTTTAAATTTTTTTTAAGGAATCTTTTTTTTTTTTTTTTTTTTTTTTTTTTTTTTTTTTTTTTTTTTTTTTTTTTTTTTTTTTNATTTTTTTTTGATTTTTTTTTCTTTTTTTTTTTAAGAATCTTATCTAGTATAAAGCACACAGAGGCAGAAAACATAAAGAACATATATAGCTCTAATGTAAGGATAGACAAAATTTGAATTTTTTAAAAAGTTTGACAACGCGGGATTCACTTGAAACTGGTTTGCTATTTTCCGAAACCGCTTATAAAAATATATTAATTAAAAACCTTCATCTACAAATAATTCATGGGCATCATAT